TATCGTTCCCAAGTGTAATATTATTGCCAACACGTGTGTCAGGATACACTCGCCGTTGCTTGCTGAGATCAAGAAAGTACAACATCTAGCTCCCAAACCTGTTCCTGGGGATCGATACTTCGTTCCTCCTGAGCTCCAAGTGGAACTGCTGCATTGCTTTCATGACAGTAAAATTGCTGGGCACCCCGGCACACGCAAAACATGTTCCCTGATTTCTAAAGATTTCTGGTGGCCTTCCCTTCGTAAGGATATAAGGGATTTCGTCAGGGCATGTGCTGTCTGTATGAAGACTAAGCAACCTCACGCGCTCCCTTGTGGACTTTTGCATCCCTTAGAAATTCCCGAGAGACCTTGGTCGTGTTTGGCTATGGATTTCATTGTCGATTTGCCTGTTTCTAAAAAACATACTGTTATTCTCACGGTGATTGACAGGTTTACTAAAATGGCTCATTTCGTGCCCTTGCCTAAACTGCCCTCGTCTCCCGAATTAGCTGAGATATTCGCGAGGGAGATTTTTCGTCTACATGGTATTCCCTCTGAAATTGTTTCTGATAGGGGTTCCCAATTTGTTTCCCGCTTTTGGAAGTCTTTCTGTTCTCACTTAGGCATCAAGTTGAACTTCTCCTCTGCCTATCATCCCCAGTCCAACGGAGCTGCCGAACGCACCAACCAAAAGATTGAACAATATTTGCGTTGTTTTGTTTCTGAACACCAGGACGATTGGGTTGGTCTGATTCCTTGGGCAGAGTTTGCACACAACAATCTCGTTTGTGATTCTACTCGTTCTAGCCCCTTTTTCTTGGATTATGGCTTTCATCCTTCCATTCTTCCGTCGGTTTCCCCTTCCCAAGGGGTTCCGTCGGTTGATGTTCATGTCGCCAATCTGAGAAAGTTGTGGGATCAGACTCGACGTATTCTTCTTCATAATTCCATGGTGTTCAAACGACACGCTGACAAACGGAGACGGGTGGCTCCGGTTTTTGCCCCGGGTGATAGGGTGTGGTTGAGTACCAGAAACATCCGCTTGAAGGTTCCTTCCATGAAATTTGCTCCTCGTTACATAGGCCCTTACAAGGTTCTGTGTCGGATTAACCCGGTTGCATATCGTCTTGCCCTTCCCCCTGCCCTGCGCATCCCTAACTCTTTTCATGTTTCTTTATTGAAGCCTTTGGTTTGCAACAGATTTTCCTCCCCTGAGTCCTCCCCTCTCGCTGTCCAGGTTGAGGGTCAGGAGGAATATGAAATCAAATCCATTCTCGATTCTCGTATGTCTCGGGGGAAGTTGCAATATCTTGTTGACTGGAAGGGGTATGGGCCTGAAGAAAGGTCTTGGGTGGTCCATGAAAATGTGCATGCCCCTCGTCTCCTCCGGGCATTTCATGCTCGTTTTCCGTCCCGCCCCGGTTCCTTCCGCCCGGTGGGCGTTTCTGAGAAGGGGGGTACTGTCAGGGTACCTTTGGTGTCTACCTCGGAGGAGGTTAGACACCTAGACGTCCATCCTCCCAGGGGGGCTGACTCACCCGATCCTTGCACTCCTCCCGGTCGTTTACACGCCGGCCGCGATAGCTCCGCCTCCTTTTATGACGCGGCGCTCAGTAGCCGAAGTCATGACGGCAATCACGTTCCGACCCGTCAATCACAGCAACCAAGTGCCGAACAACCAATCAGGACCCGTTGGGGGTGGAGCCAACAGTTAAAGAGCCAAGGTATAAAAAAGGGTTCTGTGGAATGATTCATTGCCCTGTCGTGGTTCTAGCTAGTCTGGTCACTCAGTGCAATTACCTCTATTGTCTTTTGGTTCCTGACTCGGCTTGTATTTTGACCCTGCTTTTCTCTCTTGTCCTTTTGACTCGGCTTGTCTCTCGCTTACCTGATCTCTCGTTCCCTCGACCTCGGCTTGTCTCTGACTATTCTTTTGCTTTCTCCTTACGTTAGTCCGGCCATTCTAAGGTCCGGTATACGTACCTATCCCCTGTTTGTATTCTGCGTGTTGGATCCCTGTCACGATCCTGACAATATCGACCAAAAACAGTAAAACACTCCCAAGCGTCATGTATCTGATGGAGATGGTGTTGGAGAGATAGAAACAGCAGCTATAAGAAAACACATACCCTAGGCTAATCTCTCTCTAATTTATGTTTTCATCTTTCAAGTAAATCCATAACCCCTAACAGCAGTGTCCAGTCAAGCAGGAAGGTAAAAGGGTGTGCCATTGACACAAATCACGTAACCTGCCAAAAGGGGCGAACATGCCCAAAAAGAAGACATGTCTGCCCAAAGAATTAGAAGGCCAGCCTGGCATGAATGCATGTCAGGCTGCCTGCCAATCATGCAGCTGGCCAACTAAGGGCATACTATGCAGACAGCACCCTGAGCTTGGCATAAATGCATCTAATGATGCGCTTGCTCAACGCTTTCTACGGACTGTCCCCTAGCACTCGCTGGTCCACTTGTCTCCTTACCTTCTTACTAGCAGGCATATACTCCTGGTATATAGTCTGGGACAGAGAAAAGCTGTATGTAGTGAGTGTAGAAGAAAGGGAACATGCCACAGTGTTAGAGAGACCAAAGTCATCATTACCTTAAAGGATCACTATAGGGTCAAGAACACAAACATGAATTCATGACCCTATAGTGTTAACACCACCATCTAGCCCCCCTGGGCCCCTCATGCCTCCATAAATATAGCAAAATCTTACTATATTCAAGCCTGAAGCTGTAACTCTGCATGCTGTTAGACTCATAAAAACAAGCAGTCTGCTGATATCATTAGAAGTGGTGGCCTGATCCAATCACAGTGCTTCCCCATAGGATAGGCTGACACTGACAAAGAGGCAGATCAGGGTCAGAGCCCTGGCCAATCAGCATCTCCTTATAGAGATGAATTGAATTAATTAATCTCTACGAGGAAAGTTCAGTGTCTGCATGCAGAGGGGGGAGACACTGAATGTTTGGATGCATTTTAGGCAGCCATGACCCAGGAAGGATCTCTAACAGCCATCTAAGGAGTGGCCAGTGAAGTTATCACTAGGCTGTAATGTAAAGACTGCACTTTCTCTGAAAAGACAGTGTTTACAGCAAAAAGCCTGACGGTAATGATTCTACTCACCAGAACAAATTCAATAAGCTGTAGTTGTTCTGGTGACTTTAGTGTCCCTTTAACTATAATGATTGTCAGCCAGTCCATACAGGTTTTGTTCCCATTACATCCCTCTTAAGTTTCCATACTTAAGTAAGAGTATGTGAAAAGTAGTTAGGGTTGCCACCTTTCTTGGAAAAACATACCAGCCTTACTAATTTGCATAATTAAATATGTATGGGTGACATCACATGATGTAAATCACAAGGAGTGACATAAGAAAAAATGCTGTAAAATCACAAAAAAACTTAGTTTGATTCTGCTGGATCGATGGATTCCTCCCAGTGCCCCCATGTCTCCGAGTCCCCTCATGACTCAGTGCCCCCATCTGTCGATTACTCCAGGTCTCAGTGTTCCTATGTATCATTGTCTCAGTGCTCCATGTCTCCCAGTGTCCCCTAGTGTCATGTCCCCAGGTCTCCCAGTGATCCTATGTATTACAGTGTCTGAATGACCCATGTCTCCCTGTGTCCCCATGTATCCCAGGGTCCCCATGTCACTAGGACACTAGGAAGACGGGGAGACCTAGGGGACACGGGGAGACCTAGGGACACGGAGACACCAGTGACACTTGGAGACTAGGGGATTCTGGCTGGGACACATGGGGACAATGGGAAAATAAGGGACACTTGAAGACATGGGGACACAGACACCAGGGACACAGACACTAGAGACACTGGCTGGGGGACATGGGGACATTGAGACATCGGGGGACTGGGAGACATG